GTAGCATTTCACCCAGAAGTATTCAGGGTATCGTATTTTCACGTGGAACGGAGGTGTAAGAGTCTCTTAAGCTAAATCACCTAAGGTAACAAGAAGAAGGATAGCTCGGGTAGTGAGGTTTTCTAAGGATAGAGATCCCAAGATAAGATAGCTTTGCCACTATAGACTTGCTTCGGGCACCAGAGCGCACCTAGTCTACCAGGCGATACCAGCTTGTAGTCTACTTCAAACCTGGACATGGGGGAGTACAAAGGACAGACATGGCTGTAACCACCTGCTGCCTACCCCTCAACCATGGGGAACAAGGCAAACGAAGGTAGCCTCTAGCCTAGACACCATGTCTACGCTATCGACTACTACTCTAGCGTGATCAGGGTTATCCGTCTTTATTAGGGCCCTCTACTAGAGTATCTACTATGAGAGCGGACGATGAACCCACAAGCAAATAATGAACAAGACTAACTTAAAGTAGAACTCACCACCGAAGATAAACCCGAACCTTATACTCTAAGTAGTATTCGGATTGTAGAGGTACAAGTGGAGAGGAGCCGACGATTCCCAGCATTCCTTCCACTAATTGTACAATGGGCCCCAAGTACACAAGTGGAGGTAGCCGACAACTCCGGTACTTCTCCACTCTTACTCACTCACTCCCTACACTAGAACTAGCTAGAGAACTAAGATATGAATGGAGCTCTTCTCTTCTTGTCACATTGTGACTCTCTTGTGTTGTGTTGTGGAAGCCCAAATGGTGTGTTGTTCTATAGAATGGGAGCTCTACCCCTCCTTTTATAGCACCCATAGGACGGTTTGGAGACCTATATTTAGACGAACCCTGGCGTGCACCGCCTATGCATGTCTCCATGCCATCGCCAGACGAAGGAGAGGCAGAGTGGCCTCCAAAAGGGAGCAGCCGCTCCATAGGAGTAGTTGGCCCCCTACTAAAGCATCTCGCCACCACCTTCACTTGGTGGACTGCTGAGGGGATGTGGGCTGCTCCTTGGGTGGTCTTTCGCCAAGATGACTTGAGTTGATGGGCCTTTCCCTTTATTCTTTGCGCATGTCTGCTTTACGCTTCGTCGGAAAGCACCTTCTTGGTGTATTTTCCATGTCTTTGTGTTAATGTCTGTTTTGTTGTATTCCTTGTCCACTTTAGGTACATTTCTTGCGCTATTCCGATATGTCCTCCTGCAATTGGTTAAACACCAAAACTTGTGGAAATTTTTAGTTCTAAAGCCCTATGTCTAAGTTTGGTGTTTATTTGAGCATATTTTATATGAAAGTTGGCGGTTAGAAATTGGGGTTAAGGACCGCCAACACAGGGCGGCCTGGTCCATGGAGCCCATTACTTTTGACAAAAATGACTTTCAAGTGCGGGATTTTCCACACACAGACACCTTTGTAGCAATAGTGAATATAACTGGGTTCACTGTACACAACATCCTCATCGATAATGGAAGCTCCACCGATATCTTGTTCATCAAGCCTTTTGAGCAGATGAACCTTGACAAGTGAACGTTGGAACCAGCTGGGAACTCGTTGTTCGGATTCGACGGGAAAAAGATAGACGCCTTGGGGAAAAAGGCAATCCCGGTCTCCTTCGCAGAAGGCGAGAAGGTCCGCATAGAAACCATAACTTTTGACATAGTCAACATGGATTATCCATACACCGCAATCTTCGGGAGGGGAGTTCTCAGTAGATTCAAAATCATGATAAAGTGAAGCTATTTGTGCATGAAGATGCCTTCCCCTTTCGGCATCATCGCAGCACACGGAGATCAAGCTGCATCTAGGTGAATAGAGGGCAAACCAATCCCAGGTTACAGCCTTGTAAATGAAGTTTCCAAGAAACCACATAGCGAAGAAGAAGACAGTGAAAACAAAGTTGAACCAAGGGCCGAAGCAGCCGAAGACACTCAGAAAGCCCCATTGTCAAAATTAGTGCCAGACAAATGCGTGCATGTGGGCTCTGATCTGGTAGAGCACAAAAAAGACATGTTAGCTTTTCTCCATGAGAACCAAGACATATTCGCCTGGTCGGCAAAAGACTGCAAGGTGTCAGTCACGATCTTGCACAACACAAATTGAATGTGGCAAAAGGGGCAAAACCTAGGAATCAAAAGCTGAGGAAGATGTCCATAGAGAGAGCAGAAGCAGCGAAATCAGAAGTGCAGAGGTTACTCGACGTCGACGTCATCAGGCCTATTCAGTACCATGAATGCTTTGCCAACGTTGTAATGGCTAGGAAGAAAAATGGGAAATGGGCGAATGTGCGTTGATTTCACCGATCTGAACAAGTGTTGCCCAAAAGACCCATATCCGCTCCCAAGAATTGACAAGTTAGTGGATATCGTAGCCGGGTGCGAAGTGATGAGACTATTAGATTGCTTCTCTGGGTATCACCAAATCTGGTTGAACCTGGATGACGAAGACAAAATGAGTTTCATCACCCCAGGAGGAACCTATTGTTATCGGCAAATGCTTGAGGGACTGCAAAACGCAGGCCCTACCTTTTCTAGGATGACAGATGGTGTTTTTGACAAACAGAAAGGCAAAAATCTTGTCACATATGTCGATGACATCATGGTCAAGAGCGATAAGAAGGAGACCCATATTCAGGACCTTCAGGAAACATTCGAAAACCTACGAAAGGCCGGCCTTAGGTTGAACCCAGATAAATGCATATTCAGCATCAAGAAAGGCAAACTGCTCGGTTGTCTAATATCGGCAAGAGGCATCGAAGCAAACCCTAAAAAGATAGCAGCAATAGTAAACATGAATCCGCCTGCAAGCAAGAAGCAGGTACAAGAAGCTTACGAGAAGACTAGCAGCATTGAATAGATTCATCTCAAGATCAGCCGAAAAAGGCATCAAGAAAGCTGAAACATTATTTCCAGGCTCATTGCATCAAAGCCCTTTCAGCACAACCGCTGGAAGTGCTATTTCGCAACAGTGAAGCCATCGGTAGAATCATAAAATGGGCCACCAATTTAAACGAATTCATAGTGGACTTCGAGCACAGATCCGCTATCAAGTCTCAAGCACTCGCAGATTTCATCGCAGACTAGACCCTAGCAGCTTATGACACAACAATACAATTTGAAGAATCAATTTAGACTGTGCATTGCGACGGAGCATGGGGAATGAATGGTGCAGGAATAGCAGCGATTTTAATGCCGCCAAAAGGCCCAAAGCTTAGCTATGCAGCAAGGCTCGAATTCCTCACAACCAACAATATAGCCGAATACGAGGCAGTGCCCTACGAGGGGTGAAGTATAGTTTGGTGTATGGACATTACCTAGTGTTGGTAATCTCATATGCTAGGTCTTTGTGTAAAGCTGTTCGTTTATGTTGTGTGTTTTGCCCTACGCGTGGCTTTATATATATTTTTTATGTATATATCTATTTTTTTATTTGGATGGAGGCGGGCTCTTGAGGTGGCTTCAGTGCTAGCCCCTCTGCCTATCACGTAGGCAGAAGGGAGAAACGACGTCCCCCCAACCTTTAGGGTGAGGGGATACACTAAGACAGATACTCAAGGTGGCTCGGATCGACATGGTCAGGGGTGTGGAAACGGAGCAAACTATTCGTTCAGGCGAATAGGCGTTGGTAATTCGTTTGATCGTTGTTGCAGGTTTTCATCAATAAAGGGGTCACCCGCTCTCGCACGGCCGACAGCTCCTATCCGCCTGGGGCCCACTTGGCTGGTTGGAAGGGCGACAAGAGGCGAGGCTGGTCAGTTTCTCCCGAGCTGGCGCCACCTAAGGAAGACGGGGACTCCGATTGGTGAGCAAGCCCACGACAACCGAGAATATCCTCCGGATATTGTAGTAGTTGTAGGGGCAGCTTTGTCCTATGAAAATGCCTACGGGCATATATAAATAGCCTCCGTGAGGGGAATGTAAAAGGGGGAGAAACAAGCTCAATGAAATCGTTCATCTTGTTTCGCTCAAGTCCTACTTCATCTACTCCTCGTGCCTGATTTCGCTTGAGTGACAACCGGTGTTCGAAGGCCGTGGCCTAGAACAACAATACTGATCGCCATTAAGAGTAATGATTGGTTAGATACAGTCGGCTTGCCTGCATCAGAAAATAAAAAAAAACACCCATCTCTAAAAATCTTCTTTGTAGTAGTGTTGACTCCATTCTATATTGTCGACCCTTTAGTTTCTTGTAATTGTGAGAAAGACATGCACTAACGCAAAACACAAACCCATCACATTCACACCACAATATGTGCACTCCATATTACAAACATAGGGACATGCATGCAGACGCTGAACGCACTCATGTGCCTGTAAATGTGTGGACATCTCAGTTTGTACATCAGTAATGAAATCCTATTTCCACGACTTACCTCCCAGGACGATTGTTCTGTTTGTCGATCAATTTCGGAAAATATGACAAGTACAAAGCAAGGAAACACAAATCTGGCTTTCAAATGGCCCCAATAACTCAATAAAGGAACCAAATTCTTGTATGCAATGACGAACTTGTCTCTGTATTAAGCCTCTAAGTGATGCATATCTGAAAGAGAATATACACAAGATATAATATCCCGTTCGCTTGAGCTATTTTTCAGCCATAGAACATTGTTTTCTTCTCACGACATTTCAACGTAAGTATCAGCATAAATCAAATTTCAGTAATACGAATTAATGAAACATTGATATTATATACAACAAGATAATTCCACTGTCATAGAAATGCAAAGCCACTAAAGCACATCCTAATCGATAAGAACAGCCAGTTGATTTTTAATAATACTTAAAGCACTGAACCACATCCTAATCAGTGGGTTGTTCCTGAAAGCAACGGTTGGTAGGAGTGGCAGGACCCGGCCGGTTCCACCCACAAGGCATCGAACATCATTGGCGCTTGCACGTGCAGAGAGAACGTGCCGATGGCGACACCAGCAGGACCCGGTTGGTGTGGCCCGTAGACTTTGCCAGGTCTTGATCCTAGACAATTCAGGATATTTTTTAGCTTACGATTACAAAATGGGAGTTGGGTGCAGAAGACTTGGCCCACAAATTAAAAAGAAAGAAGTAGAGTACGCAATGAAAGACTGTGTAGGTGCTGTCTGTCTTATATGCATCTCCAAGTCATGGTCTTCGCCTCCCATCGTCCGTCGTCGTCCCACCCTCGCCTCACCATCACCAGTGAGCTCCGACTCCAAGCGTGAGAGGCCTTGCTAATAGCTCTCACGGCACATCTGCGACTGCGATCAACTGCAGGTGCGTGCGTAGTACGTGTACTTCCCTGCAACTCATGCCTTAATTTGTTTTCTTGTTGTTCTCAATTGGTCACGGCTTCAACGGGTCGTGTCTGCAGATCGACTCCGCTCTAGCACTGTTCATCCTTTGGTCAACATTAGTTCACCGTACTGTATCTCCGATATGATTTCAAGATCACTGTCCTTTCGCCCTTGATTGCAAACCGTAGCTGTCGTGCAATTAGGTTGACTTAATTAACACCAGAGGTTCAGATTCAGGTTCTGACTCTTGAGTCTGTCCAGCCTACCTTTCTGTTACTTGATTCGGTATCAGTGTCTCGAATAAATCCTAAACTTGCCGTGAACTTCGACTTCGCCTGCTGGATTTGGGTACTTACGATGGTCCGCGGATCAGACGTGGTACTGGTCTCATCTCTCATGACCTTAATTAGAGCCGGCATGAGAAGTAGACTTGAGGGGGTTCTTGTTCTTCCGTCGTTATCAGCCGACAGCCACTGAACGAATGGCTTCTAGCTATGCTTGTGCTAATAAAGTTTTATCATCTTCGACCAATCCATCATGTCTACTGGTCTGGTTCCTGAAAGAAGGATGTACTTAGGCACTGTTTCAAGACAAAGTTTTTTTTTTCTCAGGATGCATTTTGGAAAATTATGACACATTTAAATAACAGAATTTCTAAAAAACACACACAAAAAATCTTACACCATTGAGAATCACGTCACTGTTAACAGGCTTCTCTTAATTTTTTATGTTTTAGAAAAAAGGAGTTTTTTTTATCAAACAGGAGGGGCAAGGAGCCCCTACTAAAAATATATTAAAGAAAACACAGGTTCAGTACAAAAAAAGAAGTACTAGAAAGGAAAAACTGAGATGCTGAAAAGATAGGATAAGATAAAAAAAGGAGTTTCCTTCTGCCTTTCTGTGTCCGCACACATCCAATTTGTTGCAATGTTTTTCAGCTAATCTACTCATAAATAGCACACATACATGTAGAAGGGAAAAAAGCATAAGTATAATTTATTATTGCTTCTCCATCTATTATTGGTGCAAACATTCAAGGCAATGACCTCCAATGCCTTCCTCCATGCAAAACTTTCTCCTTGGAGTGTTTAGGCAGTGTGTTTAGGTAGTCTGCTAGAGTTGCTCTAATTTAAAGGGGGCAGTTCTAAATTAAATTAGTTTTTTTAGACTTCTAAATTCAATTAGTTAAATACCAAATGTTTTTTTAGGGGAAACAGTTAAATACCAATTGGTAGTGTAGTGTGGGAGTGCAGTGCACGCACTGACGCACGTTGCTGGTCAGCTGTGGGCTGTGGCAGCCCATCTGTGGGCCGAATCAGCCTCTTGTGCTCTTTGCTGGCCCACATGATGACCATCCTTCCAGTTCCAGTCCATCCCTCGCCCGACACCACTCCTTGCTGTCCTACTCCTGCGTCATCCACTCATCCGGTGCCCCATGCCTGCTGCGCCTGGTCGACGAAATGCGCCGCCGAGATCAATGGGCTACGGCTGCGCGCCGGCACGGCCAAGTGCGGCAGCGGCGCGTGCGTCGATGGGAAATGGATACATGACAGCGTAGAGCCGGAGATGCATGCATTTCTCTTACCCTAACCGCGTTTCTTACCTCTGCACTTCTCGCTGCCTGCTCACCTCCTCCTTCCCCTTGTTTAATGCCTCAGGTTTGCCGGATTCATCCCCCCGTTCGCTCTGGGATAAGGTTCCAGCAGGTGCGCATTGGCTTGTCAAACGAGCCAACACTATCCCTGTTTTCTGTGGATGTAAATGAGATAATTTTGATGGACATTAGGGACCATGTTCTCAGCAATCCTATTGGGCTAGTTTTATGCTCTCTGTCAGACACGTTGACTTCAATTTTCCTGATCGCATATCAAACTGAGTCTAGGCACTAGGCAGGGAGCAACTTCAGGAAACGTCGCCCTGAATCTGAAACTAGCACGGACATCAATTGATGGTCCTACCATGGTTGCCCGAATCTGTTTAACCCTCAGAAAGTTTGGAAGCAAATAAACATATATGTTACAATTGAGGATGTCTAGAAAATGGGGTAGCAACTGGATCTTCTGTCCAAGTGTCCCGCGTCCTGCCAGTGGCTCTTTATATGGTTTTGCGTTGTTATGACCCGTTGGTTGCGCAATGTTTCATTTATACTATATGCTGATTATTGCTACATGTCTTTTTATAGATAGATTATGTCTAAAAGAGTAAGTACGTAGTAGATTCACTATTTTAATTACCTCTTCAGGAAAATGAGTGAAACATCTCTCTTCTATGCCAAATTATATTTGATGAGGTCCATTTAGCCATTTGGGAATTGCATATGGTACTGATACATGTTACCTGCATGTGCAATACATTATACTTTAAAGTTTCCTGTCATATAAGCTTTAAGTTTTGCCGAGACAAAGCTCCATTTGCTAAAAAAATAATAAGGCAGAATAGAATCAACAAGAACAGGGGGAATTGTTTTTTTTTTAACTTATGAGTGACAGCATGAATTCAGCTGCTATCTTTCAATTTAAATTTGCTTTACCTACAATATGACCTGCTGTCTTTGTTGTTCAGCTCAAACTTATGGCAGAAGCAGTGCTCCTTGCTGTCACTAAGATTGGTTCTGTTCTTGGAGATGAAATTGCCAAGGCCATTATAAATAAGCTGTCTGAAAAAGTTCAAGCTCTGAAGGAACTCCCACGTAAAGTGGATCAAATAAGGATGAAACTGACAATCATGAGCAAAGTTATACAGCAGATTGGCACAGTCTACCTTACAGATGAGCTTGTCAAGAGTTGGATTGGGGAGGTCCGGAAGGTGGCTTACCGTGTTGAGGATGTAGTAGACAAATACTCATACCATCTTCTTCAACTAGAGGAAGAAGGGTTCCTGAAGAAATATTTCGTCAAGGGTACCCACTATGTCCATGTTTTCAGTGAAATTGTTGCTGAGGTAGCGGAGATAGAAGGGGAGATTCAGCAAGTTATTCAGTTGAAGGATCAGTGGTTGCAGCCATCCCAGCTTGTCCCTCACCATGACCAACTCGCTGAGATCGAAAGACAGCGTTCCCAAGACAGCTTCCCAGAATTTGTCAAAGATGAAGATCTAGTAGGAATTGAAGAAAATAGAAAACTGCTGACTGGATGGATTTACTCAGAAGAGCAGGCTAGCACAGTGATAACAGTTTCTGGTATGGGTGGACTGGGAAAATCTACACTGGTTACAAATATTTATGAACGTGAAAAGGTCAACTTCCGGTACATGCTTGGATCACAGTTGTGTCACAGATCTACACAGTCGAGTCTCTGCTGAGAAAGCTACTCTGGAAGATTGGGCATATGGAACCACCAGTGCCAAGAGATATTGACAAAATGGATGTACATGACTTGAAGGAAGAAATAAAGAGAAAACTCCAAAATAGAAAATGCTTGATTGTATTGGATGATGTTTGGGAGCAAGAAGTATACTTCAAAATACATGATGTTTTCCAGACGCTCCAAGAAAGCCACATCATCATTACAACACGAAAGGATCATGTTGGTGCTATTGCTTCCTTTGGCCACCATCTTGAGCTCCAACCGTTGTGTGGACCTGATGCATTTGAGCTTTTCTGTAGAAGGGCTTTCCACAGCAAGAAGGACCACAAATGCCCCGAGGAGCTTCAGGAAATTGCTGGTGAAATAGTGAAAAGGTGTCATGGCCTGCCGCTAGCAGTTGTTACAATCGGCAGCTTGTTGTCATCAAGACCACAAATAAACATTTGGAATCAAACATACAACCAGCTTCGGAGTGAGCTGTCAACCAATGATCATGTCCGAGCAATCTTAAATCTAAGCTACCATGACCTATCTGGAGACCTCAGAAACTGCTTCTTGTATTGCAGCTTGTTTCCTGAAGACTACCCCATGTCACGCTGAAACCCTTGTGCGGCTTTGGGTTGCAGAAGGTTTTGTTCTGAGTAAAGAAAAGAATACACCAGAGGAGGTGGCTGAGGGAAATCTCATGGAACTGATCCACCGTAATATGCTTGAAGTTGTAGACTATGATGAGCTTGGCAGGGTTAGCACTTGCAAGATGCATGATATCATGCGGGACCTGGCACTTTGTGTTGCCAAAGAAGAGAAGTTTGGTTCTGCAAACGAGTATGGTGAACTGATACAGGTGGACAAGAATGTTCGTCGCTTGTCCTTATGTGGGTGGAATGTTAATGCGGCACCTAAGGTTAAATTTCCATGTCTTCGAACTCTTGTGGCTCAGGGAATAATTTCATTCTCCCCTGACATGATATCCTCAATTATGTCTCAATCAAGCTATTTGACAGTTCTTGAGCTGCAAGATTCTGAGATCACTGAGGTTCCAACATTTATAGGAAATCTCTTTAACCTTCGGTATATTGGGTTAAGGCGCACCAAAGTCAAGTCACTCCCAGAGTCCATTGAGAAGCTCTTCAACCTCCACACTCTGGACATCAAACAAACTCAAATAGAGAAACTACCACGAGGGATTGTTAAGGTCAAGAAGCTAAGGCACCTTTTGGCTGACAGGTTTGCTGATGAGAAGCAGACAGAGTTCAGATATTTCATCGGAGTGGAAGCACCGAAAGGTCTGTTGAACCTGGAAGAACTACAGACTCTTGAGACAGTGCAGGCGAGCAAAGACTTGGCTGAACAGCTGAAGAAACTGATGCAGCTCAGAAGCATATGGATCGACAATGTTAGTGCTGAAGATTGCCCTAATATTTTTGCGACCCTTTCGGCAATGCCACTTCTTTCCAGCCTCCTAATCTGTGCAAGAGATGTGAATGAGACACTTTGCCTCCAAGCCCTTGCGCCGAAATTTCCCAAGCTCCACAGACTAATTGTAAGGGGGCGCTGGGCTGATGGGACACTGGAGTATCCAATATTTCGCAACCATGGGAAACATCTAAAATATTTAGCGCTTAGCTGGTGTCAGCTTGGTGAAGATCCACTGGGGGTCCTTGCTCCACACGTGCCAAACCTCACTTATTTGAGCTTTAACAGGGTGAATAGTGCAAGCACTTTGGTTCTTTCTGCAGGGTGCTTTCCTAACCTGAAAACACTAGTCCTGAAGAAAATGCCTAACGTTGAGCAGCTGGAGATTGGACATGGTGCTCTTCCATGCATCGAAGGTCTGTACATCATGTCCCTAGCGCAGCTGGATAAGGTCCCTCAAGGCATCGAATCGCTTCTCTCCCTCAAGAAGCTTTGGCTTCTGTACCTGCACGCGGAGTTTAGGACTCAGTGGCTGACGAATGGGATGCACCAGAAAATGCAGCATGTTCCAGAGATTCGCGTCTAGGACAGGGGACAGCCAGATGGTTATTTCTGCAGTACTATGCTTGTATGGTGTCTGTGAAAGAACTATGTTTTTTGTACTTTTAATCCCTTTTTCGTCCATTAAGTCATGAATTGTTGTTATATCCGGATTTTACTTGCAGAGTCTAAAGGCTTGCCTTGTGTATTTTCGTTGTGTTGGTACAGTTGCTTTAAGAATAATGGTTGGTTCGAGACATTTGCCTTCTGTATTGACTTCATGCAAATGATGTTATGATCAAACTTGCATCTCCGTGTATTTTGAAATTTTTACATGCCTTATATGAGAGTGGGAGAAAATCATATTGGTGATACATTGGCTTGGCTGCAGAATGCTGACTGGTGTTTATTGACCATTTTAAGTTTAGGGGAAAGCTTCAGCTCTTCTGCTCTTCTATTGAAATATAATGCTATCTTTTTTGTTTGAAAAATCTATCAAAATGGTACAAAACAGCGAACGCGTGTACGTGGTTGCATCTCCGGCTGTGGAGTGCGCCCACCCGGGTTTGATTCCCTTCGGGAGCACCGGGTGTCGCATCTGGGGATTATTAATCCCCATATTTGTTTCATGCAGGTTCTGGACATTTGGCGTGGCGCCAACTATGACGTGCCCGTGCTCTACGAGGCTCGTGCGGCTCCGGGTGATCTCCGGATGGACGCTTGTGTTGCGTATAGGTTGTAGGTCTAGAGTGTGAGTTGTGTCGAGTTTAGAAATTACAACTTGTACTATACTTAGAAGTCCAGACTAAAAAAAAATGGTACGAAACAATAGGATAATGTTGACTTCATGTACCTCAGGCTACCATTTTTTTTTCGAGATGGTGCTTGTAATCTAAGTAGCGGTAGTTTATAATATTCCCTCCGTTCTAAATTATAAGTCATTCCAATCATAGAGAAAATTATAAAGATTTATGACATCAAATAGCTATACTATGAAAATATAATTAATAAAGAATCTAATGGTACTTATTTGATATCACAAATATTATTATTTTATTATATAAATTTGGTCAAACTTTAAATTCTTTGGCTCTCTACGAAAGTTCAGATGATTTATAATTTGGGAAAAAATATAAGAAATAAAGAAATTTCAATATTGGATTCTCATTCATATTAGAAAAAATGTACGTTGGGCTCTCTAGTGTTGCAACTGCAGCTACCAGCCTTGGATTCTGGGACTGGGGACTTGCGCGGTTGCGCCGCCGTCAGGTCTCTTCACCGCCTGCAAGCTCTGCACCTGTAGTTGCCCCACAGCAAAGTAAATTTCAGGAGTCGAGACGGACTGACGGAGGAGGAGCTCTATAGCATTGGATTTGGAGAAGAAACCCTCAAATCAAAAGGGGCTGTCGAAATCAGAGTAGGAGACGACGGTGAGGGGCGTCGGCGCGTCGCTCGGTGGCGGCGACATTACGCGCACGGAGGAGGAGGAAGTCGCAGGGACGATGGGGCGAGCCACTGACATGATGCAGGCACAGAGTTAGGACCTGATTTTTCGTAGTCAGGTGATTGCCCACTCCCATCTCTGATCTCTCCAGTTTGATTCCTTTTGCGTTGGTTCCAATCAAACACTACTGAAGCGAAAACCATCTCCCAGATGAACAGAACAAATCTCCAACCCATTGCACCAAATGAACAGAACAAATCTCCAACCATCATTGGCGGCTTTGCCCCAGAAAAGGACAATGTTTTCCAATTTCGTTACTTACTCATGATTATGTTGCAGTGATTAGTAATCCGTAGAAGGTTTCTAGCGTTTTTTTTGTCACATCACTATCCTCTTGACTAAATCATCAAATGAACCATCTTCATTTATTACATATTCTAAAGGGAAAGAGAGAGAGTTCAGACCTACAGCAATGTGCAGGTCTGCAGGAACGAATCCTGGTTTACATACCATTGTCCTGAGTACTAAATTCACTCATTCATATACGATGGAAAAAAGGATTATAACCATGACTCAAGAGTGGAGTCATTTAGGCAGTAAAATAAACTTATTTGATTAGATAGTTTAGTGATCCATAATGGAGGAGATTTAGTGACTGCATCAGGAGCACAGTTTAGCTGGTGTCCACATAAATAGCTTGTCCTTTTTATTTCACCCATTAGGAAATGGAATATTCTTCACCGTTGTCTGACAAACCGAAGTAGCAACTCTACCCACTAACAAGAATCCTCAACTGAATGGTTCACCTCATGCTGCAAAACAGAAATAGACATCATAAAACAATAGCGACTTATCTTTGTGTAAAAGTACAACGAGAAATTGTAGTATTTTTTATTTGGGAAAATTAGTTTTGTAGCACCAAAAGAACTCCGCTTCCGTAAAATACCATTGAAAGACGTTTGCCACGTAAAATACCACCGAAAGATAGCATCGTTACCTCTATCTAGCATTCCGTCACGGTGGCACAGCAACGTCGTGAAATCCACCTCCAAACGCCTGATAGAAACAAACGCTGGGTCATACTCCTGGCCCTCCTCGGTTCGATGTGGAGCGCCATAGCACCCAGCTCATGCCCCTCCTCGCTGCTGACGGCGGATGCTCAGGCAGAATTCCAAAGTTGTCGCAGGGTCGCACGAGGTGGCCGTCGAGGAGCGCGGCAAGCTGGTTACAAGCGAGACACGGTGCGGCGAGTGCGGACTGGCAGCGACGGCAACAACCTCGCCGGCCGACATGGGTAAGGACGGACCTCCGGAGGAGGTGGCCAAGGCCAAGAATTTGGCGCTGGCGCTGCAGTCGTTCGCGGACGTAGCGGACGTGGTGCTCATGGTTCTTGCAACTTGTGAGCTCTTGCATTCTCGACGGACACCAGCTGCACCTGAACGAGCGCAGCCTCTTGGCCCGTACTGCCGTGGCTGGCAGCGAAGCTACCCCCTGTGTGCGCCCTAACCCAAGGACGACGCCACCGCATGGGCCGCCTTGAGCGTGAGGCCGACCACACTCGTGGACCACAATTATCAGCACGGTGCATGCCGCTCCGCCGTGTCCCCAGCATGCGTGCGCAAGCAAACCGCCGGCGGCGGCATTGGCATGGGTGCATGCGTGTGCAGCGCGAGTCGGCTCACCTAGGAACGCCATGAGCCAGTTGCCGAGAGCCAAGAAGACGAGATTCCGCGTGTTCTATTAGTCGGGAAGCAGGAGAGGAGAGGAAGTTGAAGATGCGGCTGGTGATAAAGAGCATCACGGACGTGGACATGCCGTCGCCTATTGCGCCCACCAGGCCCAGCACCATGCACTAAGTTTGCGTGCATGAACACCGGCGAACGATGGCATCGCCGGCGCCGAATTCTTGGCCTTGGCCGCCTCCTCCGGAGGTCCGTCCTTACCCATGTCGACCGGCGAGCTAGGTCGTCGCTGTCGCTGCCACTCCGCACTCGCTGCACCGTGTCTCGCTTGTAACCAGCTTGCCGCACTCCTCAACGGCCACCTCGTGCGACTGGCGACAACTTTGGAATTCCGCTAGCATCCGCCGTCGGCAGCGAGGAGGAGCATGAGCTGGTGCTGGAGCTCCACATCGAACAGGGGAGGACCAGGACCTAGCGTTTTTATCTTTCAGGCGTTTGGAGGTGGATTTCACGACGTTGCTATCCCACCGTGACGGAATGCTAGATAGAGGTAACGGTGTGTCTTTCAGTGGTATTTTACGTGACGAACGTCTTTCAGTGATATTTTACAGAAGTGGAGTTCTTTCGGTGCTATAGAACCAATTTTTCCTTTTTATTTTCTCATGTCTTTTATTTGCCGTTATTTTGTCATAGTACTACAAAATCCAGGTAGCTACAAAGATAAATTGCTAATTCTAGAATAATTGTTTTACAAGACTAAAACAAGAATTCCCACTTATACATTATTTGTTATTTCTCATAAGGGGCAGGATTACAATTTGCACATGAAGTCGGATAGTCCTAACCTTCATTAAGAAACAAGTAGCCCAAGCCCCTATCCCTAAACCCAAACAAGTAGTGGGTGTTTTGGAAAACAAAACAGTGGCAATTACAATGGATACAAATGTATAGTGACTTACAACTTAGGCCTTGTTTGGATGTGCATGTATTCATCTCAATCCACATGTGTTGAAGTGGATTGGAGTGGAATTGAACTAAATTCCATTCCATTCCACTCCAACACATGTGGATTGAGATGGATACACATGCATCCAAACAAGGCCTTAATAGTTTCGTTAACATTATTTGGTGACATTAGGTTGCAAAGGTAGCTCACATAACTACTGAATACCCAATGCAATTTTTTTGAAGGAATTAACCAATGCAACTTCTATGAATGTTATGGTTTTCTTTTATGCCAATGATCATGGTTTTGGATAGGAAACACAAGACCAATCGAGAAGAAGTGTTCAGGAAACAAGAACTAAGTTGTCAGTACTCAGTAGTCAGTACAAAGCACAAGTAGTAGTATTTTGCTCCTTATCACAGATGTGTTTATGTTCTTGTTTGTTAGAGTCCACATGGTCAAACTCTGAAATCTGACCATTTGTTTGTTTGGAACTATCATTCACAGGATGCAGATTAACTATACAACTAAATTTCCTATGAGAACTACTACGATAATATTTCATTTTCAAAATTACAGGTAATATAGACTTACAAAAATATGTTTTCTATCTTTTACATCAATGATTGCCAAAAGCAAATAACATCGAGGAAAAGAAGAACAGAGAAAATTTTAACTGTTCCCCAACTAGATAAGCATGATTTGTAAGGTTTAGATTCCTCTACCTGTTTTTGTAAGGTTTTTGTGAAAGCAAATAATAACTTCTAGCAACTAATACTCAGTCACAAATAAGTGATTGTTTTGGCTTAGTTCTGTCAACTATTTCAAATTATGGTTACCACTTAGATGGAGTTTTGATATTCAAATAATACGAGTATATTGAACTCGAAAAGAAGTTTCATAAAGGTTCACCTTTTCTGTCTTATATGAACATATTTCAATAAAATTGCCTAGCCAAAAAGTCATTTTTTATT